CAAGGGCAAGAAAAAAAGAAGATTGGGTAAGTACTTTATTTCTTGTTTTTCATATTTATTATTATAAAAGTAACAAATCTAAAAATATGGATCTTTTTAAGTTATTTAAGACTAGTTTAGGTAAAATAAGTAATAATAATAATATAATTAAAATGTTTCATGAGGCATGCACGCGAACAGCTTGTGGGTAATGTAATTCGATTGCATAACGTGAGCTGCATGGTGTGGATAGTAGTTAGACACAGTTCAAAGGGCAATAAAATTTAATTATAAGTAGATGTATACTGTTACAAACATAGAGCTACTTGGAATAAGCACAAATCTTATTTTATTTTATTAAAAATACTTTGCTTAAAATATGATCTTTTATATGTGAAAGACTTGTAATGTTAACTTAAAGACTGCCAAATTTCATGAAGATTTACACACTATATTGAGAGTTATAAGTATTAAATCTACAAAGACTTTAATTGAGTACAGAAAGGTCACATGGTCGGTCAAATTGACCAAGCCTGTATTGAGGGAGTTAAATAAGAAATTGGTGGGAAGTTAGGAGAAGTTTAAGCTTAGGTTCTCTGTGTTCAGTGGTACGAAGCATTATGAAATATTTGCTTTCTTTCACCCTTGGTCATCTAAACCACAAAAAAAAGAGAAATTCATCCATATCATATATTTGTCATGTTTCACACTATCTTCACTAGTTATGTTTTGTAAAAGTAGATTTAAAGCCTTTCAGCATAGTTTAGTAGTAGCTTTTGCACTGTCAGTGTTCTGATTTTAATTCTAAGTCCTGTTTGTTTGTTGTTGTTGTTTTAAATTCTGATATCACAATGTATCATTCAAAACTTTTATATCTTATCGTTTCTGTCAAAATTGCTAATGAAACTTTGCTTACTGCTTTGCCTTCTACTCTTTGTCATTACGTAGTCTGTCAGAAGTTCTTGTTCTTTCAATCTCAGATTGAGACCCCAAGTTGCCTTTTTTGTTGTTGTTTAATTCTGATGGAAGACTTGAGCGCCTATTTCTACATAACGTTTATATGCCAACTGAAATATTTTATGTTAAAAGTAAAAATCTAGTGTTAAGATAAAAGTCAACTTATATGACCCCACTTAGTACTGTGCAAATCTGTACTGGTATACATATACTGATTTTGCTGAATATTTGTACATTTGATATCATTGAAGTTTCAACTAATACTGTGAGTCATGTAATATATACTCTAACACATTGTGACATGTAGTATGTACTATTTATTATTAATTTATAAGTTCTTTCTATTAGATTTTAAGTAGATAAAAAGTTTTCATGAGAAAGAAGTATACTGTATATAAAAGAAAAAGTTTTATATACAGAAAAATATTTTTTGTTTTTTTTTCTCATTACAGTATAGTTTATTACTGTGTTAATGTAAATATATGAGGAAAACGTAGTCTTACCTTTTTCTTCAAAGGCACTAAATGATATATTTATTATAATATATAACTTTGAAGTACATCAAGGTTTCTTACCTGAAAAAAATAGTTTTTCTATCTATATGACAGAATACAGGACAATTTTTTCTTTGTTGCAAAATTTTCATATAACCATAGGATCTGCCATACTTACAACTTTATCAGAGAAAAGTAGAAATTATTCTTGTATTGATGTAAGTTGATTGAAATTATGTGAAATATTTACTTTCCTACAATCCCCTCACAGATTAGATCCATTGTGTTAAAGATTTACTTTCATCCCCTCATAGATTAGATCCATTGCCATTATTGCTGAAGGTATTCCAGAGAATATGACCCGAATGATGATCAAAAGTGCAAACGATAAAGGAGTGACGATTATAGGCCCGGCAACAGTGAGGAACTTATTCATAACTTTAATAGTATTTAACATACAGAACGACCAGAATTTGGTTTTCTGTAGTTTCAATGTTTATAGCCTTTTTTTATTGTCCGCTGTCGTAACAATAATTACTTTGTTCTCTGATGTTAAACTTTGTAAATAAGATACCACAATCAAATATGAAAATATATTTTCATCTAAGATAGTGTGGTGTATATAATTAAACTTATTATTTTCTGATAAAACTTATATTCTGTGAATACATAATTTATTGCATATAAAAGTTCATAGTGTAGCAGTAATTTCAAGTTTTTATTAATCACGATGTCTTGACATTTGACTCTGTAGGTGGGAGGCATTAAACCAGGCTGCTTTAAGATTGGTAACACTGGTGGAATGATGGATAATATTTTATCATCCAAACTCTACAGGCCTGGAAAGTATGTATATATTTTAAAACATTTGGGGAGCTCTTGTGAGGGTTACATAAGCTGTTAGGAAAACTGGTATTCAAAATTGGATTATTTCATTATATGCTAAATCATTAGTTTTTGTTGTTGTCTTGTGTAATATGTAAATCTTGGCTCTTTTACGTGCCATAGTATACATATTCTGAAATATTTACTAGAATGTATAATTTAGTGAACAAAACCAAGCTAATGAATTTGTAGATGAGCTGCAATATATGTGTGTATAGTGATGTTTCTTTCTTTCAGAATAGTATTTTGTAGCATATTTAAAACTAGTGCTATAACTTTTTTCTAGTGTGGCATATGTATCACGCTCTGGTGGAATGTCCAATGAGCTAAACAACATCATTTCTCGTGCAACCAATGGTGTTTATGAAGGAGTGGCAATTGGAGGAGACAGGTAGGATCAGGTGTGAAATGTTCTTAAACAATGATAAAATCTTGTAGTAACATATAATGTAATTTATTTTTATTAACTTAATTAGTTGGTTTTTAGAAGTATTTGTTTTTAATTTCCTTTCATTTTGTTTACATAGGTATCCAGGTACTACTTTTATGGATCACTTGTTACGATACGAAAAGGAACTAGATGTTAAAATGATGGTGTTACTGGGAGAGGTAAGTTTATCATCAGTATCTTAGAAACTGTAGGATTTAAATTATCTTTGACTATCTCATGGGCTGTGCATGCTATATTGTTGCTACTTTTAAGACTGATAGTTAAAACTCTTATACTGAAGCACTAAATTTATTTTTTTACTTGAAACCTAATTGAAATTGATAGGTAAACATTAATAAGCAAATATATAAACTACAGGATTAGTTTGAACATTAAATTTTACCAGGCTGATTTATTTAATTTTGATAGGCATCTTATATTAAAGCACTAATATTACCTTTTCCTTAAGCACTGTGAGGCTGAGTTTTTAAAAATGTATAAATAAATGTCTTACTTAAGAAGATTTAATTTTTTCTGGAGCATTATTTAGTTGAATTTGTTGTAATAAATAAATAAGAACCTAATATTATAAGACATAATTTACCTTTTTCTTATACCTTGTAAGCCCAAATTGTTACAGAACAGTGTTTTGTATAAAAGGAACTACAAGCACACAGACATATAAATACAAAAAAAAGAACACAGTCTTTGAATTTGGTGATAAATTCTACTACACATCAGAAAAGGTTATAAGAAGTATATTTTTGTATATTGGTTTTTTTAATTTTGAAAGACCATTTCCTTCAATTTAATACAGAGTGTTTGTTGTACAATTGTAAAATATGAAAAATGCTATTCTCTCACAAGATTTCAGAAAAGAATTAGTAGAATTCTTTGGCCAGGAGGATTCATTTCAGGTATCTAGAAACTTAATGTAAAGGTACAGTTATCTTACAGAAATTATCCAACCCTTCTGCAAAAAAATATAAATTTGCACTAATGCTGTCTTAAGTCTGAAAATTTTAACCACGTTTGGAAACGTGTCCCCCATATAATATGTAATAAAAAAATTAAAATAGTTTAAGTTATATTGCAAGTTTTTTAAATCTTGGCTTTAGGTAAAAAAAGTATTACTTTGCATCGAGACAAACAAATAAAAATATCTGAATTAAATTATATATATATTATAAATTATATATATTATATATATCCCCCACCCCCCTTACTTGGCTTCGATTATTTTCAGGATTTTTAGGAAAGGGCCATTTTCATCTCTGAATATAAACATTTACCTTTCAAAAATTTTTGATATTCATTTAAGGACTTTCTAGAGGAAATACAAATAAAATTTGAAAACTGTAAGATAACAATAATTATTTTTATACTTAACATGAAAATCACCTTGCACGTGAACTATTCAGAATCTGATTGCAAATAACTACATTAAATAACGAATTTTTAGTACATGCCTGTAGGAAATTTCCTGTCAAATATCAAACAGTTTCATCCACTAGTTTTATTATTTGAATGAAATAGGATGACAATTACATTATGTCCTTGCGATGTAAGGACCTGCTAACCAAAGGGTTAATAAAGATCAATGAATGATGTGTTGTATTTTATCAGGTTGGAGGAGTAGAAGAATACGAGGTTTGTACAGCTCTAAAGGATGGAAGAATTACAAAACCACTTGTGGCTTGGTGTATTGGAACTTGTGCTGACATGTTTGCATCCGAAGTCCAGTTTGGTCATGCTGGAGCATGTGCTAATAGTGACAGAGAAACAGCAGTCTCAAAGAATAAAGCTTTGGCAGAAGCTGGAGTACATGTACCACCTACATTTGATGAACTAGGCGTTACAATTCAGTAAGTCTTGAACAACTCTTATTCATACAAAACGGATTTCAGAGCGATAATAAATATTTTTCCAATTTTTTGAAAACTAATCATAAACTTTTTCTAATGAGTAAACTCGTTATAATCATAGGCTTAGGATGCATGGTGTTTGTAATTTTGTGATTATCAATTTACACAGCACAGAGGTATTAGAAGAGAAGAGAGGCAAGTGTAAAGATAGTTAATCAACTTCATAAAACTCTGCAAACAACTTGTAAGTTGATTTGACTTACCGTGTAGAATCTCATTATCATTACTGCTATAGGTAATGTGCTGTATATTGTTTACTAACACTGATAGCCTCTTTGTAAACCTAGTCTACCTGATTGAAATTTTGAGATTTCTAATAAGTTTTGTTTTTGTTGTATCATCAAGTCTTATTCTCAATACAATCATATAACCTTTTAACATTTCTTACTTTCCTTGTATCATATAACCTTTTAACATTTCTTACTTTCCTTGTATCATTTAACCTTTTAACATTTCTTACTTTCCTTGTATCATATAACCTTTTAACATTTCTTACTTTCCTTGTATCATATAACCTTTTAACATTTCTTACTTTCCTTGTATCATATAACCTTTTAACATTTCTTACTTTCCTTGTATCATATAACCTTTTAACATTTCTTACTTTCCTTGTATCATTTAACCTTTTAACATTTCTTACTTTCCTTGTATCATTTAACCTTTTAACATTTCTACTTTTCTGT